TTATTAATCATGGTAAAAAAGAAATAAAGATAGGAGTAGCTTGAGTTCAGATCAAAAAAGACAGAAAGGAAAGCAAGTTTCAAATAGGAGTAAACAAGTGATCCCATCTATAAGAGCAGAAGATAGCAATTATAATAATACTTTTGGTATTTTCAATTAAAAGCATAATGAAAATCTTTATAGACAGTCAGATATGTATTTTCAAGTGTAAATCTTTAGAAAAAAAAGATCCAAGAAAGACATACAAGAGATGGCTCAAAGAAAAAATTGGTTCCTCTGGGCATGTATGGTAGAGCTAATAAAGAATAAAAATATAGATCTAAAGCTCACAAAAGTCAAAGTACACTTAAATAATCCTTATAATAAAGAAGCAGATGCCTTAGTTAAAGAAGCTCTAAAATTTTTACTGATTGAATAGAAAGATCTCACTTCATGTAAAATTATTACTGAAAACAAGTGGCAAGGAATGACTTTAGATGATTCAATTAGGTAGCTTATTAAGAATATTAATAATAAAACAATAGCCTATCAATGAATACAACAAAATAGAATAAAGAAAAAATGGAGCCAATAGATTTCAAAATATCAGGCTCGTACATGGGACCTAGTATATAAAAGAGTTAAAGATAAGCACACACAGGATACATTTTTTAAACAATCTCAACAAAGATAATTTCTTATTAAACTGGTCAATAATAAGCTATATACTCTAAGTAAGTTGGCTATAAAAAGATCAAACCTATACAAGCAAGTGAAAAGTATTGCATATAGTCAACAAGACAAAACTATAGAATACTTGCTAGAATGTTTAGTCTATAAGAATCAACTAAAAGAGGTATGGAATAAAGGACTAGATAGAATTATCAAAAACTTTAAAGAGCTACTAGGGGAAAAAAAGAAAGAAACTAAAGAGAAAAAATCTAGACTAATTATCAATGACCAAGAAGAAATAGAAGAGTTTGACAAGTAAATCTTTAAAGTAGTAGAATAGGTTTCTAAAACTAGTCAAGATACACTAAGTTTCTATATTGACCTTATAAGAACAGATATTATTCTAGAAATGGCAGATCTAAAATGTCAAGGTAAATACATAGAAAGAATAGCAAAAAAGTGAATAATAAAAATGTAAATAAGAGTCTGTAATCGAGTTTGAAAAGAAGTCTGGAAAAAGAGATATAAAAAGGTAATTGAATGAAAAAAAATATAAGGAATTGATAAAGAGAACAAGACAAGAAGATCTTTATGTCTTTCAAGTCAAAAAACTATATTCCTAAAGAAAAAAAATTCATTACTTGAAGATGAAAATCTCAAAGATGAAGGCCTTTGAGAAATTCTAACAAAAAGGGTAGAATATGTAATGAAATAGTTGGATTTTAAGCTCTATCAAAACCTCGCAGACTAATTTGCAATAGTAACCTATAGACAATGAAGTTAACAGTTAAAAAGGTCTTTATCTGAACTACTAATAAAGCAATAAATCACTTTTGAAGTTGCACTTAGAGTTTTAATAATTCTTTAAAATAGAGACAAATGAGTTAGATAAAGACTTAGCTTTAGTGATATATTTTCTAATGTAAAGTATACATATGTTTAATAAAGCACATATACATAGCTTGACAAAGAGTTTAAAAAAACAAATTATGTACCATAATTAAAAAAACTTTTTCTACTAATCCTTTGATCATATACAAAAAAATGCTTGTAAGAAAATTTTTTATTTTTTTATTAATAAAGTCATAATACTTTTCTTAAGAGTTATTGCTAAACTTTCTCCATTGTATATAAATTATTTTACTCAAAAACTGGATTTTTAGTAATTAAGAAAAGTCAAATTGACTGTGAAATATTTGAAAGTTTTTTTAATCTTTGAAATAAAAGATTATTAAAATTTTATTACAATAGAAAGACCAATTTTTTTCTTTTCTGAATATCTAGATTCTTTTAAAGTTTTCACTTTTATAGTTATTTGAGAAATTTTGCTTGATCCTAAATTTTGGATAATATAAATTCTCATAAAAAATAATTGACTAATATAAAACATATTAGTTTTTGAAATATAATATATTCTTATTAATTATACTCATATGTCTCAATAATATTATTAATAATTAAAAAGAATATTATAAAAATATATGCCTTAGAAGTTTAAATCCCTTAAGAAAAATATTTATAATATCAAATATTAAAAGATAAATAATATGAATTATAAATTTCTATCTCTTATTTAAGTTTCTCAAATAGTAATAAAACTTTAATAGATAAAAGCTAAAATTTGAATTTTTTCCTAGAGATATTCAAATCTAATATTTGTTTAAATAAAATATTAATTGAATTGACTTGTTCAATATTATAGGTGATAACAAAAAAGATTTTTTTTTGAGACTTGAGAGAAACAAGAAAATTATTTCAATTGAGCAGATTTCTTTTAAAAAAAGAATTGCTTTTTTTTTGGATTTTTTTGATATAATTATAAATTGTTCTCTTTTTAAGGATGGGTTCTTAAAATATTTAGCATGTAAAATTTCACAGATCACTTATGTTTCTTTTTAAGAAATAAAATTTATAGCTTTTTACTTTAATAAAGACAAAATTCAAGAAATATTATAAATCAAAGGTTTTGACAATAAAAAATTATACTGAATAGTTTTTTTATAATTATTAATTTAAAAATTTTAATATTTCCTAATAAGAAACATTTGATTTTTGTTTCTGTCTCTTTTTTTAGGAACCTATTTTTATTACTTTTTCTACTTCTTATTTTTTTTCTTTAATTTAATGATTTATAGTTTATAAACAATCTATAATAATAAACTTGTTTATAATATATCAATTCTTTGGAGAAATAAAATATTATCTTTTAGACTTAACTTAAATTATTTTGACACAATAATAAGTTAGTCATTATATAAAAAATCTATAATATTTTAAACAGTTTAAACTTTTCAATAAAGACCAAATCATATGACATAATTGCAAATTAAAAAAAAAAAGTTGGAATTATTAAATACTTTAATACTTTTTATATAAATTTTTATTAAATATCAATCTTTTATTATTGATATTTAAAACTCTTTTCTCTGATCCTCTGACTACACACAAAAGAAATGTTTATAGGAAGTTTTTATACTTCTTTGTTAATAAAGTTTTAATACTTTCCTTAAACAACTTGAAGTATAATTTCAAGAATCATCTCTACCCTTTTCTTTTTGTTTAAAAACCTTTTCACTCAAAAACTTGACTCCTAGTAACCAAGAAAAGTCAAGTAATATCTTTGATACCAATGGTAAGAAAGTTTTCAAAGAAAAAAAAACTGATTATAAAGTACTTGAAAGCCTATCTAACCTTTGAAGCAAGAGGTTTATAGAGGTTTTTTGCAGTAAAAAGACTTGTTTTCTCCTTTTTGACTATTTTGGTTTTCTTAGAGCTTTCACTTTTATGGTTTTCTGGGGAATTTTACTTATTTCAGTTTGATCCTGAATTTTAGATAGCACAAATTTTCATTAAAGATAATTGGCTGATATAAAGCATATTAATTTTTGAAATGTAAACAAGCTTCTATTGGTTATATTCATATATTCTGATGATATTATTGGTAATTAAAAAGAAGGTTTAAGAAATATTTATCCTCAAAAACTCAAGTCCTTTAATGAAAACTTCCATGATACCAAAAGATCAAATAGTAGGTAATATGAATTGCAAACTCTTATTTCTTATCTAAGTTCCTCAAGTGGTGACAAAGCTTTAATGGAAAAAAGCTGAGATCTAAATGCTTTCCTTAAGATATCTCAATTCAGTACTCACTTAAATGAAAGATTAGTTGGATTGACTTGTTTGATGCCACAGGTAATGAAAAAGACAATTTCTTCTGAGGTTCAAGTAAAGCAAAAAGACTATTCCAATCAGGTAGATTCCTTTTAAGAAGAGGTTATTTTTATTTTTAGATTTTTTTGATGGACCTTGAATTGTCCCCTTTCTTCAATTATTTTCTCCTTTCTTCTTTTTAACTTAGCAATTCATTGGTTTTTGACAATTAACAGTAACAAACTGTTGATAATGATTTTGGTAGATAGAGATTATTATTAATCTATCAAGAAAATGTAATTTTGTTCCCAAAATTTGACTTGACTTAGAGTACTTACAGTATATATAAAGACAAGTTAATCACTTTGTAAAAGTCTATAAATTATTATAGATTTATTTTAATTTTTCAAAAAAAAACAAACTATTGTGATATGATTGTGGATTAAAAAAAAAATCAATCTTTTATTATTATTTATAACTTTTAAAATAATTTGCTTAAAACTATCTATTTTTTTAAATAAATATTAAATTAAATATTTTTATATTAGATATTAAAAGACTACAGTAATGACCTGTAAACAATGATTTTATTAATTAGAGGAATTATTCAAATTAGTAAGGGAGCAAAATATCATTCCCTAGGTTGTATTTAAAGAAATAGCTTTTCGACGACGAGTGAGTCAGTATGTGAAAATCACAACAATTTGTAAATACCTAGCATATATACAACAAAGACATGCCATGTTGACCTGACTGTGGGTTAAAAAAAAAAAAATATTAGATATTAAAAGTTACTAAAATAAAAGAATAAATAAATATTCAAATAATTATTCTAATTTTAAAACAAGATCTTGAAATTAATTAAATTAATTTTTTTTATTCAATTATTTTGATAATATAATTATAGATTTCAATTCTAATTACGAAAAGCTAAAAGTTTTATTTTTATATAACTTAAATAGATCTGAATAATAAGATATAACATTATAAAATATTTAATTAATTGTGTAATATTGAACTCAAAACCTTGTGATTAGTAATCTGGAAACACTACTACGGTACTATAAATCCATAGGTTTTATTTTATTAAATATTAATGTGAAAAATCATGTGACTGTAATAAATAAATGCTTGATATTTATACGGTCACCGGATTAAAAATATAAATTTCCAGTTTTTATCTTTTACAAATTTAGATAATGCAAGATCAAAAACAACAGGAGAGTGAATTTCAAGCTGGCATTCCACCACGTTTAGTATCTGTATTTTACTCAGTTTTCGATGATGACAAAGGACCAATAGTATTACACGAGGTTCCCGAAGGTTCCATTATTCAAACGGAATCTTCAACTCCTATAATTGACTTTAATTCAATATCGGATTATATTATTCCAAAGGTTGAATTATGCGGCCATCTAATTACTATATGTACTGATTCCCACAAGGTTATGGGATTTCCTGTAGTCCTAACAGGAGATAAATATTTTAGATTCACATTTTTTTTTAATCTGTGCTTTGTATTTGATCGCAATGCCGATACTTCAAGCTATGAGCCTGTTGTGAGAAAAGTTGCGAGAATATTGCGTTCCTTGGAGGTTAGCATAACGATTCTACTAAGTTTTGATGAATTATGTATGCGTATATTAACTTTTTTTTTATACGAAAGAACGAAAGCGGATTCTTGTACAAAAACAAAAGCGACTCTTTTATGCAGAATATTATCGAACAACTTCTTGAAGACCTTAACAATTATTGTGAATGCCAAATTCTTATTGGTAACCATTTTCTATTGTTTATTTAGTATTAATAGAAGGTATGCCTTGTTAAATGTACGTTAATATCTTTATTAGATCAGTCAAACGCAATAAACCTTAAACTATATCCAACTTACCGAAATCCACCGCCAGTATACGATCACCAAGTACCGATATGTACTGTGAACCTTGCAGCTCTAATGGATGCTAATTGGGATATAACGTTGAGAAAAGTATGTCTGGATTGAATAAATCGACATGTAACTTTAAATCACTAAATCTGATGTAGGTTGCAGATTGCATAAATGGAATTAACCATGTTAAGAAAATTGCAGAATTAGCAGATGTGGACTATGATCTTGCAAGAAAATGCATGGAACACCTTTTGTATTATTATTTACTTTTAATTGGTTTATTAAGGAATATAGTGTAATAGATTAACAATTTTCCCTTTTTATTAGGTATTATGGTTGTATTATAATGATTGATATCTTTCAGGTAATTTGTCATGTTATATACAAAATCAAAAGTTGTACTTATTTTACTATCCTTTAGTTTTCGAATGTTTACATGGTGAGACCAGAAATTACTAAGATAATCGAAGATAAAGTAATTCAGAGTGAATGTTTATCTTATGTATTAAAAAAAGGTAATTAGTATGAAATTAATGTTTAAATTTAAATTCACTTGGCATTATAATATAAAATTCTTGATTTTCTTTAACTTAGACGCAAAACCTCCACCATTTGGTAAATTATTTTCATTCTACTGTTCATTGAAACACGGAATGACAGTTAAGGAGTGGATTAAAGAAAACAAGGAAATTGCTACTTCAAACATCGATATTCGGTAAAGATTTCAATGAAGGTTGTATATTAAATGCGTCATATGAATTAATTAGATCTTTTGTATTTATTATCATTAAAGGCGATTTATATCCTTTGGTATAATCAAAGGGTTTTTATATCGAGTTCATAGATACCCTATTCTCCCTAAGCAATACCATGAAAAAAGTGCATTACCACCACACATATGCAGGTATTTATCCCAATTTTTCATTTTAGAAATTCGTTAACATAATTAACTTTTAAGTGTCCATAAATTGATCAGGCTACTTGATGGTAAACATCACTGTGATGAATTATGTACATTGGAAGGGATCAGCTATCGAGAATTGGATGAACAATTGAGGAGAGATTCGGAAGTGAAATTTATTTTGCGTTAGAAAATTTGTGAAACTAATTATAATTATCTAAATTGTAGCATATATGAATTGATTATATTTATTATTGTTCTGTTATATGCTATTTGATCCACAGAGAATCTGGTTTAAATAACTAAATTTTATAACATAGTATTTTATAATAAGAATTAAATCAATAAATTGTAAATATAGAAATATAGTATATTAATTTGTAATTTTATAAGCTTATTTAAATTGATTTAAAGAGGTTTAAAATAAAATTTAAATTTTAACTTGAAACTTTAAATATTAAAATATTAAATAATATTTATTATAAAACTTTATTTTATATTTATATAAATTAATAATAATCTATTATGTTTAAACTTAATAGATTTACTATTATTTAAAAAGTAAGCAAATTTGGTTAGTAATCAAATGATTAATATAAATTATAAATAGTATATTTTAGACTAGTTAGTAGTGAACTATTTTAATTTTTTATTAATATTATTATATATTATATATATTCTATAAAAAAAACCATTCTTTAATATTTTCTTAATATTATTTATTTAAATTTCAGAAAAATACTTAGTCTTTTTTTTAAAAAATATTTTATAAAAAAAAAACTTTCTCTACTAATACACTTTTTTCTAAAAAAAATTTTTTTTAATGATTTTTTGAAAAAAAATAAGTCAATTAAAAACTTAATAATATATTCAAAAAAATAATAATTATATAATATTCTTAAAAAAATATATATGAGACTTAACAAATAAATTATCAAGAAATAAATATAAGCTAAAAATATATTTTCTATCTAAACTTTTGTTAGATAAAAAAACAAATCAAAAAATTTAAATTATAATAAAATCAAAAAATCCAATATTAATTTTTCCTAACTTTTAATTAAATTGATATATATTAATATTTTTTAAATATTAAAAAGAATCTAACAATATAATAATTTTAACTAATAAATTAAATAAAACTTAAAATTTATAAAATCTTTAGAAATTTAAAAACAATAATTAAAAACTAATAAATATTAATATAATCACAATATATAAATAACTAATATATGATATAAATATAAATATAAAAAAAAAACTCTTTTTGTTGATTTTTTTTTTAAAAAAATTTTTTTTTTGATAATTTTCTTGAAAAAAATGAATCAATTCAAATATACAAGAAAAAACAATACAGTTGCTTCCAAAAGTTTGAGTCCACTTACTATGTTTTTATTATAAATTTCAACTTTGACAATTTTTAAATC